CGGAGTCTTGCTCTGTCACCCAGGTTGGAGTGCATTGGTTCCATCTTGGCTCACTGAAACCTCTGCCTCCTGGGTTCAAGCGATTCTACTGCCTCAGGCTCGGAGTAGCTGGGATTACAGGTGGGTGCCACTATGCCTGGCTAATTTTTGTATTTTTAGTAGAGATGAAGTTTCACCATGTTGGTCGGGCTGGTCTTGAACTCCCAACCTCGGGATCCACCCGCCTAGGCTTCCCAGAGTGCTAGGATTACAGGCATGAACCACCGCACCCAGTTATTTTTATTTTTTAGAGACAGGGCCTTGCTCTGTCACCCAGGCTAAAATTCTGTAGTACAACCACAGCTCACTGCAGCCTTGAACTCCAGGGTGCAAGTGATCCTCCTGCCTCAGCCTCTTGAGTAGCTGGCAGTACAGGCACACATGACTGTGCCCTGCTATGCCTAATTTTTTTGTTTTTAATCTTTTTGAGATAAGAGTTCTGGACTGTTGCCTAGGCTGGAGTACAGTGACATGATCTTGGCTCACTGAAACCTCCACCTCCTGGGTTCAAGCAATTTTCTTGCCTCAGCCTCTTGAATAGCTGGGATTACAGGCATCTGCAACCATGACCAGCTAACTTTTGTATTTTTAGTAGAGATGGGGTTTCATCATGTTGGCCAGGCTGGTCTTGAACTCCTGACCTCAAGTGCTCCAGCCACCGTGGTCTCCCAAATTGCTGGGCATGAGCCACTGTGCTCGGCCACTTTTTAGATTTTTTTATATCGGCGCTATCTAATAGTTACTAGTTACATGTGGCTATTTACATTAAATTTTACAATTGAATTTAAATAAAAATTTCGGGCTGGGCACAGTGGCTCACGCCTATAACCCCAGCACTTTGGGAGTCCAAGGTGGGTGGATCACGTGACGTCAGGAGTTTGAGACCAGCCTGACCAACATGAAAAAACCCCGTCTCTACTAACAAAATACAAAATTAGCCGGAAATGGTGGTGCACACCTGTAAGCCCAGCTACTTGGGAGGCTCAGGCAGGAGAATCGCTTGAACCTGGAAGGCAGAGGTTGCAGTAAGTCGGTATCACGCCATTGCACTCCAGCCTGGGCATCAGGAGCAAAGCTCTGTCTCAAAAAACAAAAAACAAAACTTCAGTACCTCAGTTATGATTGCCTCATTTCACATGATCAATAGCCACATGTGACTAATGACTACTGTATTGAGTAGATGGAGTACCTTTCTGTCATTGTATAAAATTGTATTGAACAGTGCTGTTTTGTACACTTATTTAATGGTTGCTCACAGGACCTGTTATCTCAGTTTGCTTGGGCTACTATAAAAGAATACCATAATTTGGTGGCTTAGACGCAGATATTTATTTCTCACAGTTCTGGATCTGGGGAGTCCACAATCCAGGTGCTAGCCCATTCAATTCCTGGCTTATAATTCATATCGACATTGTTTTCCTAGGATTCTGCCTATAAGAATATTCCCAGATTAGGTTATCTTACTGCAAAGTGGCCAAATAATGACCTTTTTCTCCTTTGTCTTATTTACCATAATCTTTCCTCATATTTCCAAACCCAGTTACTATTATTAATGTATAGGAGACTCTACCCAAGACTCCCATTCCCAGTCTAACCAAATCTCTAGATTTTGTTTGCAGTATATTTACGAGTGTAAATGTAATCACATTCAATACTGATCAACATTGAGATAACTATGGTCTGTCAGAATGGGTATTTCCCTCAGATCACACATATCAGGGGAAAAATTTGGTCATTTTTATAGAGATACTGATACTGTTCTTCTACAGCGTCCCTTGCTTATTTCTGTCTTACCTTGTTTAGGACATAATAACAGGGAACATATACATTAAGTTCAAGTTTGGGTATATTAATCAAATGTGACATTTGTCTACTGTATTTACAATAATACCTCTTGAAAAAAAGCACAAATGGTTAGCTTTTTAAACAGACTTTTATTGTGAAATATAAAATATTTGGAAATGATTTTTAAAATTTCAATTACAGTGTTAACAATTCAATGATCTTTATGAGAGNATGAAATACTTTTAAAGGTCTATGACATACAAAAAAAGCACACACAGAAATGGTACTTATATTTAATATTATTCCTATCTTTGTCATCTAAGGCACACCACATTAAAAAATACATTCAAAGATGCAATCTACAATGCACATGCTAAAATGACTTAACAATAATGACATTAACAAATCATGAAATTCAGAAGCTTCTTCTAATTACAGATCTAAATCAGGGGTCTCAAACTTAAGAGGTCTTCAGGGCTAAGGAGGAACTACAAAGTAGAGAAGTTGCCTGGTATAAGAGGGAAATCCAGTAGGCTGTGGCAAACTAGGAGTGCATGCCCAACTGAAAGACTTTTCAAATTCAAAAATTTTTGAAACATTACGTACATCAAATAAAACAACTGTGAGTCAAAATGGCCTATGTGAACTACCAGTTTACAACTCTGGTCTAAATAAATTTCTAACATTTTATGTAGTACCTAATCCTCAAAATGGCAGACAATGGCAGACTGCACTTCTTGGAGATTATATATGAGACCACTTACGCTACCATTTTGGGGGAATAGATTAAAAAATTCTAAGAAAAGGTATTTTGCACTTCAAATTTATCAATTGAGGTAGTTTTAGGGATATATTCTTAAACATCTGGTTAAGAGATGAAATTTTAAAAATACCTTCTTTCACACTTTATTCGGGAAAAATTAGTTATGCCTAAGAGTTAATTAAAACCAAATCAAAATTTCATTTTTTTTTACTATACCATAGTACATTATTGCTTAGTAAGAAGTATTTATGTGAACAATAATAAAGTATTGGTTTTACTAAAATCATTGTTCAAAAAGCATTCAATCATATAACCTCACTATATATGTAAGAAAATTGTAATTCAGTTAACAAGTTTAAAGAGTATTTTGTGGAAGAACTTTAGTAGATTTTGTACTTTCAGTTAAAACTAAAGGTTTTCTTCTGAACACGTAGAACTGCTTATAGCTCAAAGAGATGTACAGTGTTGGCTTGTTGTGCCAAAGTAATTTGAAAGAAGTTACTACTTTGTCTACCATCAATAACTTCACATTAATCATTTTTAAATGTTTGTAAAAAAATCAAGATAGAGCCATTAGAGTAACAAATGAAATCTTTAAAAAGACTGCAAAGGCACATAATAATTCAAATATCTTTACTAAGCTAAGATTATCTATTTAAAAATAATTCACAGGGCCGGGCGCGGTGGCTCAAGCCTGTAATCCCAGCACTTTGGGAGGCCGAGGCGGGTGGATCACGAGGTCAAGAGATCTAGACCATCCTGGTCAACACGGTGAAACCCCGTCTCTACTAAAAATACAAAACATTAGCTGGGCATGGTGGTGCGTGCTTGTAATCCCAGCTACCCAGGAGGCTGAGGCAGGAAAATTGCCTGAACCCAGGAGGCGGAGGTTGCGGTGAGCCGAGAATCGCGCCATTGCACTCCAGCCTGGGTAACATGAGTGAAACTCCGTCTCAAAAAAAAAAAAAAAAAAAAAAAAAAAAAAAAAAAAAAAAAAAAAAAAAAAAAAAAAAAAAAAAAAAAAAAAATTCACAGACAATACAGATTTCAAACAAAACTCAAATATACCTATTGTAAAACTTCACACAATACCCTAAAATATTTTCTACTTTTTAACATTTTAGTTGTCAGCTAGAGAAGTTTAACATAAAAAGAAAGCACCAAATCTAGCCATATAACCCCCCAAAAAAGATTTAATAGCTGTTACATAAAACTTTATTTTCTGTAAAATAAAGTTTATATGGGGCAAATCAATTACATATGTGTCTATTAAATTCTGAAATTAAAAAGCCAAAGCTGTTAAGTCTTTGGGTAGTTAGATGGTTCGCAATCCAAAGAGTATGCATATAAAAAAATAATTTAAAAAATGAAAACTTCAGGCCAGGTGTGGTGGCTCATGCCTATAATCCCAACACTTTGGGAAGCTGAAACAGTTGGATCACTTGAGGTCAGGAGTTCAAGACCAGCCTGGCCAACATGATGAAATCCCATTTCTACTAAAATTAAAAAAAAAAAAAAGATATGTCAAACACAGTATCCATCAATTAATGCAACAGGTCTTCCAATGTTTCCATTTTTTGTGAATTAAAACTTTTTTAGTAGGGGAAAATAAGTTTGGCATTTTGTTTTGTTTTGTTTGAGACAGAGTCTTGTTCTGTCTCCCAAGCTGGAGTGCAGTGGCACGATCTCGGCTTCACTGCAACTTCTGCCTTCTGGGTTCAAGCAATTCTCCTGTCTCAGTTGCTGAGTAGCTGGGATTATAGGCCCCGGCCACCACGCCTGGCTAATTTTTTTTTTTTTTGAGATGGAGTCTTGCTCTGTTGCCCAGGCTGGACTGCAGTGGCACGATCAAGGCTCACTGCAATCTCTACCTCCCAGGTTCAAGCAATTCTCCTGCCTCAGCCTCCTGAGTAGCTGAGATTACAGGCACACACCACAATGCCTGGTTAATTTTTTTGTACTTTTAGTAGAGATGAGGTTTCACCATGTTGGCCTCGCTGGTCTTGAACTCCTGACCTCAAGTGATCCGCCCGCCTCAGCCTCTCAAAGTGCTGAGATTATGGGTGTAAGCCACCACACCCGGCTAATTTTTGTACTTCTACTTCTAGTAGAGATGGGTTTCATCACATTGGCCAGGATGGTCTCAAACTCCTGACCTAGTGATCCACTTCCTTGGCCTCCCAATGTGCTGGGATTATAGGCTTGAGCAACCGCGCCCGGCCTATTGGCATTTTTTAAAAACGCTAATTTTTGGTAAAGTTTTAAACTCTAGCAAAGTCTAATGTTTTTATCTGCAGAACATTCACTTTGATCATTATTATTATTTTTTGAGATGGAGTTTTGCTCTTGTTGCCCAGGATGGAGTGCAATGGTGAGCTTGGCAGGATACTTTAGAATTCAAAGTTAACACTGATTTTATATATCATAAGTATTTATTTCCACAGCAGAAAATTGGCTGAAGTTGAACACAAGACTGTGAATTCACCATACATTCAAAAAAGAAATAAACATGTTTCTCAAATTAAGTCAATAGTGAAATGTTATAATATAAGGGTACAAGGTAAATGCTGATATATTAAAATCTTGGTTTGATTTAGCAATTTTATTAAAAACCAGAAGGGTTTCTATGAATAAATTTATTTAAATTAAATTATTCATGATTTAAAATTTAGTTTTTATAAATAGTAACAACAGACTAAATATTGAGTATATAGGATTCCAATAAACAATAATAAAAATACCTTAACATTATTTACTTCAAATATTGCCTTCAAATTATTCAAATGTATTCAAAATTTATCGTTAACTGATCTTTAACAATGAATTCCAGACTACATTGATAGCAATTAGATATATTAGTGCTGTCTGCTTGTCCTTCACATCATCATAGGATGAAGCTTCCTTTTGTAAGAAACATCATGGCCACACTGGTTACATATAATGATCCAATTAGTTAGCGTATTTATGTAGAAAGCGTTCAAATGCATCATAGATGGCTTGTCTAAAATTAAATATGAAAGAAAAACTCTAAGTAACTAGCAAAAAGGGGGGACAGACAATGTCTTTACTGTAAGTTATTTCCAAATTTATCTGGGACTTGCAACATGACCTCCTCTCTAAATCGCTATGAAATAGGCAGTTATCCTCCCCAGAAGGGGTGTTTGAATCCATGTACCTTTTTTCTTTTTCTTTTGAGACAGGGTCTTGCTGTGTCACCCAGGCTGGAGTGCAGTGGCATGGTCTCTGCTCACTGCAACCTCTTCTTCTCTGTTCAAGTAATTCTCCTGCCACAGCCTCCTGAGTAGCTGGGATTACACGTGCCTGTCACTGCACCCAGCTAATTTTTGTATTTTTAGTAGAGACAGGGTTTCATCATGTTGGCCAGGCTGGTCTTGAACTCCTGACCTCAGTTGATCCACCCACCTCAGCCTTCCAAAGCGCTGGGAGTACACGCATGAGTCACTGTGCCTGGCCTCTAAAGCTGTTTTTTTTCTATTGTATAATATATTTTCATAGCAGAATATTCAGAAAATCTAAAATATAGGATGGGGAAAACATAATCCCATCACTTGTATCTACTGTTAATCTTTTCATATCTTTCCTCCAGGCTTTTAAGAAAATGCGTATCTAGACCAGGTGCGGTGGGTGGGCTCACACCTGTAATCCTAGCACTTTGGATGGCGGAGGTGGCTGGATCACAAGGTCAGGAGTTCGAGACTAGCCTGGCCAAATGGTGAGACCCCATCCCTACTAAAAATACCAAAATTGGCTGGGTGTGATGGTGCATGTCTGTAATTCCAACTACTCGGGAGGCTGAGGCAGGAGAATTGCTTGAATCTGGGAGGCAGAGGATGCAGTGAGCTGAGACTGCATCACTGTACTCCAGCCTGGGTGAC